AAAAGAAGTCGGAAATTATCGGATGGGGAAAATATCGCGTAACGTGCTCCATACCCGTATAATAACTTGAGTGATTCCTGGAAATCACGTTCCAGGCCGGCGGGTGAGACAAAATTGTCTCAAGAAAACAGCAAGAGTTCCGAGTTTACTTTAAATTATTTCATGATTCCGAGTCACAGGCAGCTCGTTAAGAGTCCTAATTACTCCAGAAACTACACGTTCTTGATCCTTTCAACTTGCTCCCGGAGTCGAGTCACGGGAATTTCAATGAGCACAGTCTGTTGATGTCTTCGTTAAATATGCACCGCACTGATTTAATTAGTATCTGTGAACTACTCACACTCGAACCTCGCCAGCCCCGAGACGATACGTAAAAATAGTTTGATCTTCATACAAGCTTTTAAAATAAAGCTTATAATCTAAGTTGAAATATAAAATTATATACTTCAATAAATTGCAAATATACAGTGAGGTACCTCACTGTATAATGAGATCTAAGATTTTCGCGAGTACTCATTTAAATGAAACTAATATTTTTTCGGATTTTACTTCGCGTTTTATTTTTGATTAGAAAACTACATACTCCCGACGTTTCGGCTACTTTTCAGCAACCGTGATCACGGGCAGACGAGATGTGAGTGTCTGTCAATTGGTCTGGTCATTTTAACTCCTACAGGAGGCGGAAAAATATTAGTTTCATTTACCTCACTGTATATTTAATGGATATTTTTTTATATGAAAGTGTTTGACATTAATGAATTTAATGAAACAAATTTATAATGGATGTACATTATTCTTTGTAATTGATTTCAACTTTCTATTATTTCATTAAATACGAGAAGTTACCCTAAGATAAAATGTCAACATGGGGTGAAGCTGATATCTTATAGCTTATAAGGGCTTCGACTGTAGAGAGAAACCATCTCCTTAGAATTAAACAATTAGATGTTCATTGAGTACGTGTCTTACTTATTTTTCTCCCGAAGGTCTCAGTCTCGAGCGAAACAGGTCAATCATCTCACCCTGAGTTAAACCTGTGAATTAATTATTATTCTGGAAATTTTCAATCATCTGTTAAGTATCCATCAGTTAACATCATTCGGATGTGTCGTAACTACACTTGAACCAATTATGTTCTTGTATTGTTATTTATTTGAAGTACAAATATGTACATACCGTGTAAATAACTGCTTAAATAACTTTTCACTCAGACTACAACTAAAAGTTTACCAATATCATCTTAGTTTTTAAATGTGAACACTGGATAGAGCGGATTAAAAGCGGTATATATATATACTTAAACTATTCTTGATCGAAATTTGAACTTTTTCTTTTAAATTTCATTTGTTACTGCTACCAATAGATATGGTTATTGAAATATGTCTTACTACTAGATTCCGGTTCTAATAATTTTGTTATTAGTGTATATATATATCATTGTTCTCTTTCGAGTTTGAATAACTATCTTAGTAAACGATATCTCAAATCGTCAAAGCTTCAGTTAAATAGAATGAGGAGTGATGGAGAGTAGTTCAGAGAGCACCACTCTTGTGTCTCGTTATGAGCCGCTATGACCGTCCTTAACACGCCAGCCCGGGGGTAGCTTTTGGCACAATTTTATAATGAGTCTATAAACAGAACCGAAACTACTACATACCAGAGTTAATAATATGAGAAGATATAAAAATTATTAGATGTTTTTTTGCACATTTCTATCAAAACGTTTCTGTGTCGTTCCAACACAGCGTGTTCAGAGTAGATAAAGGGCGGTCGTTTTATTAATTACAAATCATATCTAAACAAATGATTGGAACTATTGAACCGAGCGAGCGCTCAATCGTCTGTAAGGCTTATGTCCCAGGCAAAATATCCAAGGGATCCATCAGACGACATCCCTACCCGCCGACCCGCGGCACCCTAACGAGACGGACCGAACGTTGCCGCAGCATCCGACTGACGAACTCACCCTCTCCTATTTATGTAACCCTGGTACTTTTATTGCATATTTCGGCCCCTGTTCAAATTTCGCAAACATTTTTTGAATACTGCGAGACCCGTAACTTTTGAGTCACAGTGTAATTTTTTTTTCTGTGCGAAATTAAGATGCGCATTCTTTATTATAGAAATATTTATGTGTGTGTTATTTGCTCGCGGCCGAGGTCGTTATCATCCCATATAATACAACTCCTATATCGCCCTGCCGTCCTGGTGATCATGTGAAATGTAATAAACTCCCGCGGGAACTCGTTCCTGGTGCGTCAACCTCCACCGCCTATTGATTTCTGTTGCCTTAGTAGGACTAATTCAATTTTAACCCTTTTCAAATGTCGACTGAGCTTTTATCGGCGTTTATTCGAAAGTTAGTTTTAAAATGAATTTGTTTTAACACCCACCCACATATAAAATTTTAAACTATGCTTCTAACTAGGGACTAGAAACAAAGAAGTTTTCTAATCGCGGTACCAGGATCACATAAATGATCAGGAATCGTAACCGTTAGGGAGAGGCTCCCTCGGCCGGGGAGCATGGGAAGGGCGAACGAACTCAACGCCGTTGATCCGACAAAAACGAGTAAGACGAGTTAATTCAACGACAAACATGAAATGCACTACAACTTATAAAACACGAGCCTACTGAATATACAATGATAAAAGGTAAGCATCAAACAAGGGGCTACTTAAAAGATTTCGCTTTGAAAAGTCGTACCGTGAAAACCTGTAACTCGGCGACCTTCCGGCGGCGCTGTCTGTTCGTGACTTTAGGGCCACTTTATCTTACCGAACCGTCCGAAACTAATGTGCGTATGACAACGCCTTTTTCCCTCAAACCGCTTTCACGGCGCTCTCCGATATTTACAAAGAGCCGGCCATTTGTGTCACCGCTTTCAGTTTACGGATTAAACATAAATTGTACTGACGTGAGCTATTTTTGAATATGACTAACATCGGTTGCTAAAATCAATTTAAAACTGACACAGTAAACATGTCTGACACAGTAAACAACTATACATAAATATTCAAAACGAATGTAGCGTGTGGTTTATAATTGATTACTTTTTATTAGAGTAATTAGTGTCGTTGAATTAAAAATGTTCCGAGTGCGGCCCGTGCTCCCGTCTCTGTGTACCGGGTCGCGGGTCGAGTCCCCGGTGTAATTACAGCGAGACTCATAGTATGAACAACTGGCCACGCGACCTCCTCCACCGTCATGACGCCCGTGCAACTGATTCTTTTTCTTCGGAAGAAAATTACATAGATTGTATGAATGGTAGATCTATTTTTATCTAGATACTTTTTCTATACATGATTAACATTCTTTGTTTGTGAACAGTCTTTAACCTGAGGTAATTTTTACTTAATAATTTTCGTAATCCATTCTCAAAATTAAAATTGATAAAGAGGAAATCCTTCATAATACTTTTTAGTGTAAGAAAACATGGCTAGATACTAAAAATATTTTATAATCTTGTATCTGATATTATTCAGTATCAGTCGACGCGAATTTGGCCTGCGGTATAAAAATAATAGTACGGTCACAGTCGAGTTGACTGTGGGTCACGTTGACCGACTGTTTGTTTTGTTGTTCGGTCTATCGCCGCGTCGCTGTATACATATGTGTACTTTTAGTCTTATTAACCCGTTTTTCACAACACACAGCTTTTGAATACGGAAGTTTAAAAACCAAGAATTAGATGATGATTCCGTTTTATCTTGAAGCGTGGCTTCGCAGATTGTTATATGTCGATATTACCTTCCCTGTTACACCATAAACTACTAACATATGAAAATTCCATGTAATGAAATAGTTTAAAACTACTTCGCTTTGAACAAGCTCTATCATACTTTCAACCCCCTTTTGTTGTGTTCGTTTAGTTTACCTCTTCTATTTCATATTCGCCTAGTACTCCGACACCATGGGGGTAAAAACTCTATTGTTAACATAGACTGCGGCTATGGGGTCGCTTGCAAAAGTATTCCATTGTAGCACGCACACCCCTCCTAGTTTATAGGGAGCGTGTTCACGACAGCCTCCTGGTCGTTTATGGTCTCCTGGTACATGGAAGCTCGCTTGATATTGTTTAAAAGCTTGTTTTTCTTATTAAGTCACATAAAATCATTCAGTAAGTATGAATCGAAGCTCTACTTATTTTTTTCCTTCTCTCTCCGAAGCCATTGTTGACGAACACAAAGGGGTTATGTACCAGGCGAGCAGAGGCTTACAGAGATTGACCGATCGTGCAAATTGAATGTCCGTCGAACACGACGCGACGGGAACGATTCCCCATTGTGTCGACGGCTTTATAACATACACCCAATATATCACGACGAAGGAAAATATTCTTACGATAGAATAGAAATGCTACGATAAACGCTGATTTGGAAATACGTTTTATTATTATGATAAATTCAACAATGGCTCGAGGAATACAACTTCATTGTATATTATTTATTTAATCAAAAGCATTCAAGCTAACGCGTCAACAGTCGAAATATACTTACATAGTAAATATAGAAATTTTATAAGTAATTTATATTGGTGCCACTATGATCAATACATTTTTGGTATATTTCCTCTTGCTTGTCCCCGTTCGTCCGAAGTTAGTTTCAGTTGTAAAACAGTTCGTATAAAAACTGTAGCGTATTTTCGTTCGGTTTTATTTTTCCATTTCACCCGTCGCCTGGACATGATGAAATTTTGTTTTCGGTTATGCATATGTATGTATTTTGAATGTACAATACTATTGTATCACATGTGACATGTATAATATTCTTTATAAGAGACTAGCTTTCCGCCCGCAGCTTCGCCTGCGTGGAGTTCGGTTATATCGCGTTTCCAAGAGAACCTTTCAAAAGTCTGGGATAAAAAACTATCCTATGTTCTTTCTCAAGGTCAACTCTATGTCTGTACCAAATTTCATTAAAATCAGTTCGGTGGTTTAGGCGTGAAAGCGTAACAGACAGACAGACAGAGTTACTTTCGCATTTATAACATTAGTAAAAATGAGGATTTTAACATGTTGGTTATTGTTTCAGCTGGTCGGCGGCGAGTTTGATATGGAGCTGAACTTCGTGATCCAGGACGCACAGAACATACAGCACATGCTGGAACTACTGGACCACTGCCCGCCCAGCCTCCAGGTCAGATACATTCACTTACTTCTTCTACCTGGCAATTTCCCAGCTCTAGCCAGGGTCTGCCTTACATGTTGTGAATAGTTTAGGCTAATTGTTTTTACGACCGGCCGCCTGCCTGACATCAACCCTCTTTGGTAAAGATACATTCACTAACACTACAGATGAACACATTCACGACGTTGTATGAATAAATTAGAAATCATTAAAAAAATTGTCTCAATATAATAAAAAGTGAAGCAAAACTGTCATCAAGAATGAATTTCTAAAACATCAATTAATCATTCCTTGAAATTTAATTAGGATGCTGATAGAATCTTTTGTTTTAGCCATTCAGTGGATATTTCTATATAATAAGATTCTCAGATTTGATAATATAATTATATTAAAATCATCAAATTAAGGACATATCTCGACGATCGTAATAAATTCAATTTATGTAATTAGCGTCCTAGTATTTTTTTTATAATCCAAATAATTACTTGCTAAGTATTTCGTTTACTTTGTATGGGGAGGGTCAACACCATACTTCCGATACATCCCCCCGCATAATGCTCGAACCATGACGGCGAACTTCGAACTATGCCTACCAACCAACCAACCCACCAACCCTACTTGTTAAGGAATAACTCCTTTATTTTTATGAACACCTAGTACTTTAACACCATAGGGGTGGGAAATATAATGCAAAATAAATTCATTATAACAACTACCACAAAACCCTCTTTTATACCTGCAGTAAGTTCATGTTAAAAGGAGAATTTGAGTTAAAAAATTCTGTTGCGTGTCCAGGTTAACGTTAGAAAGAGACAAAAACTTTGAACCGCATAACAAATTATACCTCATAGTGTTATGTTGTCCTAGTATTAAAGTAGGCCGATAGAATTTAGAATATAGAATTTTCCATATAATAAAAAAAACATTGATTTATTTCGAGTAACATAAATTTATAAATAACATTTCAATAATAAACAACCGTAGGTTTTAAGTGGCTCAAGCAAGATAAGCGGATTCTATAAAGTACCAGCTTAAGAGTAAATTCAGTGAACCGAATCAGAGCTACGGTGTTATCAGGAATATACTATTTAAATATTCATACAATAAATAATATATACATTAGTCGGTGCTATAAATAATGTATCAGTTATTATTCTTAAGTGGTCGGCGTATCATACGTTATGTAAGCGGGGATGCGGGGATGCGGGGATGTGGGGCTTTTCTTAATACTTGAAGCGTTGCGTGATACACGACGCTGACGTGACAAGAATGTCTCTACCTTATCACGCTTTCATCTAACGGCACTAATACGACAATATGAGCGCAGCTTCACAAACTTTAGAAACGTCGTCTCGGAGATCTTAAGCCGTAACACTTTGTCTTCTCTTATATATGTTTTGTTAATCTATAAATACCTTCTATGTATTTTGTTTAGGAAAAAATTGTGGTATTTTTGTCCACATAGTAAATATTTTGTAAACTTTACAAAGGAGACCACGTTTTAGGTATTTTAACAACGATTTAGTAAACAATGTTTGCGGTACTGTCTTATAAACTATATAAAATAAAAATGAGCTTCTCTGTTATAGAATTGTGAGCAATTTATACATTAAAATTAATGTATCGCTACCATACAGCGAAGTCAGATTTTCTTGGAGTATTTTCTGAAAAATTGTATCTCAACTCAACACTTGCAACGTGTCTACTCAATTATATTGTTAACTGTTCGAGTTTTCCTTCTTTACGACTCTGCTTGGTAAGTTTTGTAAATTTACATTTTATATTTTAGTAGAACATGAAAACTTTTCATAAATATTTTGTCACCATTTCTCACAACTTCGTCTATTAAACTTGGTACTTAAATACTGTGGCCTATTTATATTTTTAAATAATTTGAGCGGATAATTTAAAATTAAAATAAAATTATGAATAGAAGTTTTTCGTTAGTCATTTACCTTCGCAGTTAAGACGAAATTGGTGGAAGTCAAACATTAATTTTAAAGTATATAAATTACCAAGAAAAAAATATATATATGGAAAGTCATATCATCAGTCATACTTTTTACTTTGACTTTTTTCTTAAGTAACTATGATCAAAAATGTAGTTGTTAATCTTGGAATCTTTGTGATATATAAATGGTTTGATGATAGGAGAATTATTATTAATTTAGTTCTATATTCTTTATCTCATTCTAAAGGACGGGTGTGTGATACTCTTTGTGAATGCACGAATAATAATTGTTATAAATTTTTAAAATATTCAAATAAATTTCTTAGAGAGGAGACATAATAAATTGTCAGCCTCTTAGTTGAGACAAACACACGTCTTTCATAGATTTTTTAGTTTCTTAGTGCTCAGTGAATTAATGTTGAAACTTTGGAAGCCTTTTTTTAAGACTCAAACAGTTAACATTTTTTCGTCCTAAACGTTGCAGAATTCTATCCGCCAAAATAAGTCATAATTAAGTCTTACAACTACAAAATTAATAATATAAAATATGAAAAAGTACTTTTAATTTCCAGACAGAAAATGAATAAAATTATGAAAATTACTAAAACAAGTAAAATAAAGAGAACATAAATTCTTAAGATAAAAATGTTATACAGTGTCCTAATAAATAAGAAGTAAGAAAATGTTATTATTTTATTCATATCCAAGGTTCCTAAAGTTAAATTAAAACCTCTATACACTATTACTGGTATCGTGAGGTGTCAGTGGCTAGAAAGTAACCAATTTGACTACAGACATCTGAGGGTTAATAAGTATTAAACGTCATATTGTAGAATAACTTATTGTTATAAATATCATGACGTTTTGGGACTTAGAGTTCAAAATACATACAGTATATGGTGGGTATAGTGTCTTAACTTACTCAACTGTAAAGAGATGAAGAATTCAGGGAGATTTGATTAGTCGAAGACACTGAAAGAGTGTCGCCAAACTCTAGAAATTATATTATCAATATCGTAACAGTGCGTGCAAGTGTTTATGGTAATCTAGGAACATTTATTGACGACAGAAACCACACAAACATTACCAAAGACATGCTTTACAGCACATACTCACTAAACGTATGTGTTTTATGATTATAGAATTGAATTAACAATACGAATAAAGCTTCATGCTCTCGAGTGTCCGCTAAAGAGATCTACATTTTGATTATGACATTCATGTAAAACGATACTAAACAATGAGAACATTTTTATCTTGATAGCCTATTAATTGTCTCTCTAGATCTTGTAATTCAACGCCATGCCATTTAGTTGATTTTTATGACGTTATTTGAAGTCAAAGGTTCATACCAATACGCTTACACGACTTGTTGATTGCAGAAGGAAATTTATCTTTGAATCAACGAAATATAACCAGATATTTATGTAAAAGTAGTATTTATGTATTTATGTCTACAAAGCCATGAAGCCCATTTGCTTGATATTTAATTCTATAAATCATTGTTTTCTATGCACCTGATGATGATACATAAAACTATGTACATCATCAATTATTTCCTTTCTAATTGTTAACAAAATTTATTACCTTAATATAGTGGCTTTTGTGTTAAGCAACTTTGTCGTCGTTGATAAATCAAAATAAAATTCATTTAATTTTGACTGGTGGAATAAGTCCTGAGAGCTCTTCACGAACATGTACATATCAAAGACTAGAACAAAAAAATGAGTACAGGAGACTCACTATTGTTGTATATACATACATATAACAGTTTTCCAGTTTTACCTGAATTTATTAACTAACGTATTCTCGTGTGTTGTTCATGTTGAATTAATAAATCTATAAAGTAATTCAAAAGTAACTTTGTTGTTGATACAATAAATGTTTTTTCTGTCGCTAGTGACGTCAGTATGTGACCGTATTTTATTTTTTGTAAAAAGTCACCTGAGAACAAATATATTTTATCTTATTATATACAAATCTAACTATGTAGTTTTAATTGTAATACTGCTGAATTCAAATGGTTTATCACTTTATATTAATTGGATCCAAATCTTTGTTTCTTAATAATAAGGTTTGTACCGACATCATTTAACAATTATCACCTCACATTACTGTTCTGTTATCTGACACTGAGGACACTTTAGTATAAATTCCTCTTAAATTTAGATAGTTGCAATTAATTTTGTATCCAAATAAATAAATATATTTATATACTTAATTGGGTGACTAATAGATTTCAATTGAATTAAAGAAATCTGCTGATACAGAAAGTAATATTCTGCAAAAATTTTACTTTAATACATATAAGAGAACGTGTCTTTATACAAAACGTTTTACAATTCGGATTTTAGCCTTGAGTTGGTCAGAGTAGAATAATTTACAGACAAAAGAACATACATACATATACTCTTATGTTCAGGATATATCCTGAATATATAAAGTTATTTACTGTCTAAAACCTGATGTAACCTTTCATAAGTCAAGTTATAGTTTGAACAATAAAACATTCCCTCTAGTAATACAATGTGAACGTATTTCATTCTGAATAGTTTACAATTTGCTAGTTGTACACAATACAGAATGTTTTTCATCAATTTTTCATTTTATCTCTCAACTGGTAGTATTGAACAATGCAATTTTTTAAAATGCTAGACATTTCGATATGTAGCTAGTATTATAATTTGTATGGAACGAAATAAATCTATTTTTGTTAAGGCTGAGAGTTATTTCTTATTTGAGAGTTTATAACTAGCTGTGCTTTATGGTACATATGAAAAATGTTGTGGAAATAAAATAGTATTTATTTATATAAGATTAGTTTGACTTAAGCCGAGATACATAAACATATTCTTAAAAATATTCCCAATAAATATTTGTTATCCAAATTCATTTAAAATGATTTTTGACATGGATACACCATAATGAGTTTAAGTAAATTAATTGTATTTGTGTTATCCTATTTTAGGTTTGAAGAAATATGTACTTTTTTTGGATTTTTTTTAAAGTTTTATAGTTTTTTTAAAAGGTATGTGCATGAAAAGTAATAACTAAAAGTAATAATTTTATTTGCTCTGTGAAGTATTTCAGTATTAAAACCACGTGGTGTTTATATTTGGTTAATGGTTCATTCATTTTAAGCTCAAAATATCCCGACTCGAGGTCAACCACGAAGTTCCCTCGGGAATCTTAGTAAAAACCATAGATTACAATCTTGGTAAAAAATAGACTACCAACACAATGATATCTAAGATTATACCTAGCTCACATTAGTCACATTAAAACTTTTTATACATTCTATAGAAAAATATTCTATATTAATATTTTAAACCATAACAATATACTTAGTGCTCCTTCTCTTAACTTGATGAGCCATTATAATTATGTTATTGTTCGATTGTGAGAACGAGATGATAGTTTCGGTAACTTTTTGTAAGTCACGTAGAGTCTTCATACTAGTTTGTTAACTACTTCTAGTTTTATGATCCCCTAGTAGTAAGAAGAACAAGACAACCCTTGCACCCTACTTACAAAATACCCTAATAATGTTGTTTTTTTATATTTTACTAAGATTTGGATAGATAATTAATTATTACAATAGTATAATGATTTATATAACAATTAACGATAGTTTGATAAACATACCCGTATCCTTTGATAACATTTGAATTCACGGAGTCATTGCTAAAATACACATTTTGAGTGAAATTTTATATAATTTTCTGTTAGGTGAAGACAAAGTTATTTTGTTCAATGTTATTTTATTGCATAACCTTAATAAAATGTTTCTACTATTAATGTATTTCTATATGATAAAACTTCGTTTGGTACAATAGTAAGTCATTTTCTTAAGTAATTCTTGAAAGTTATTCTGTGTCTTGTTCAATGTTTATTATAGTGAAGGGTCCGTCAAACCGTCCTCAGCTATGTAATAAATTGTTTAAAGTTTGTTTAAAATGCTAAGTTATAAAGTCTTCCACGGTTCATTATGTCCAAACTCCAAGCACATTGTGTTCAAGCGAAGCATACTGTTTACCTGAATTTGTATCTTACTCCATTTTCGCTGTGGAATTTTGTTGAAAAGTTTTTAGTAGCTATAAAAAGAAATTTGGGTTTTAGAGTACACGGATGGCGACATTGTTTTATAATGTTTTCAAAAGTTGTACCATCACACAAATTGACGTACTTTGTTGTGGTATTCCGTCGACCCATCATTTAGTGAGTAGACACTTATGTATTCTTTATAAACTTTGTTATTGAGCTCTGCAACAATAGGTTCTGCAGCATCTTCTATCATATGTAAGTACTCGTGAGTTCATTTTATATGTAGTAGTTGGAATAATCAACACGGCTAGACCGCTGGCCTGTAATATACTGCTGCTGTGGTCACGGACGTTTAATGAAGAAACTTCCCTATCGAGAAATTTATTCTGTTTTTATTATACGCTTATAGATTCCTTATTCTATTTTCTGTCTTTTGTTTTTTACTCTCTCAATTTGAAACATGATACAATTATAATGGCTTTTTTCTTTGAATTATTTAATATCATACGAGTGTGGTTACACTAATAAGATTAATGATTTATTTTGTATTAAGAGTTTTTACTTATTGGTTTCAATATCGGCTTCGTATAACATTGTGTTATTTTAATAGAAATATTTAGTATTTTCGCCAGTATTATTGTTATTTAATCCTCTTGGTGTATTTTTGATCTGCACTATATCGAGCCCAATAAAAACAAAAGAAAAACATATTTTATTTCAATATTATTTGTATAAATAAGTTTTTTAGACAGAGTGAAAGATGTTCTTAAAATTCGTTAAAAATGTCTACCCATTGTTACAACTCATGTCTAGGGACGCTACAATTGAATAAATATACGAGTATATTAACATAATTTAACAAGTGCAAGATGTTATTGTACAGATATTATAATATAATCATTGTGTGGCGCTAATGCGAGAATGAGTCTTCATATTCAATCAATCAATACCAGTAATGCTGACGGTGTCGTCATACACACGTACGAACGTCTCGGAGTGGAGCCTACATTAATATACATACATAGACGTTGCTGTGCATTAATGTTATCAGTCATTAATTAATATGAAACTAGCTTATACAGCTGACTTTGTCTTGTAAATTATCGATAGTTAAGAGCCAGGTTAACTATATGTATCTTTTTTATTCTGTCTTACATGTTGTGAAAAGTTTTGGCTAATTGTTTTTACGACCGGCCGCCTGCCTGACATCAAACCTCTTTGGGAATGCATTAATCAGTGATGTCTAAATATTCTTAGAAAGTACATATGTATGACTCGGAAAAATCATTGATACTTGCCCGGGCCAGGATCGAACCCGCGCCCTCGTGCATGAGAGTCGGACCTTTTAACCACTAGGCCACTACTGACTCTTTAATATATATATTTATTATTATTATTGTATTTCACGCTTTGACATGGCTACCTAGGGGTGATTTATCAAATAGTAATGTCTGTTCGACATTCCTGGACGTAGTGAATCGCGCGAATTCCCTCCCGTCCGTTGTAATATCGTCGAGATTGTTCCGGTAACGGCTCCAGAATGTAACCTAATTACAGCGGGCCTCGTTAGGGCGCCACCTTTGTTCTACACTCGTTCACTGTTCCTGCTGCCCTGGTACTTGAACCTGCTAACCGTCCAAATGGCCACTCCAAATTTTGGTCCTGGAAAAAAAAAAGTACAAATAATGCGAACGAAGCCCCGCCGTCACTAATGACTGCAATTTAAACAAAACGAACTAAACTCAAATCCGAATGGTTTTGTTTCCTTTCTTTTATGAAGTCTTTTGTAGGATTTGTGAAAGGACTATTACTGTGCTCTTATTATTATCGCGTCCACGTGAATATTACTACTTCACGAGACATTTTATAATCTTCCATTTTGTTTTATTATTATTATTTTCATGCTATCAAACTCAAAACTAACTATAAGTTATGAATGATGCTAGACACTTCAACGGGCGTGTGGTATTTAATCAGTTCCATGAGCATAAATTAATTTGGGCTGGTTGAAAACTGATGTATTTTTATTTTAATTAGAGGTAAAATATTATATGTACATATATAACATGTTGAGTTTGTACAGTGTCCTATTAAATAAATTGGCTTTGGGATTGTACATTTTTATTTATTATTGGTCCTCAGTTCTTGTAACTGGCCCGTGTTTAATACATGAATTCAACGTATTTCATTGTCTATATTTTGACTGTCAACTGTTAAAATGGAATGTACAGTCATTATAAATACTATTCGTTTTGTTTCACAGGCGGAGATCTGGTCTGTTTTCATAGCCATACTCCGTAAGAGCGTACGGAACCTTCAAGCCTGCACTGATGTAGGCCTCATCCATCACGTGCTGCAGAGACTGCCGAAAGCAGAAACCGTAGTTGCAGGTTAGTATAAGCTCATAAAAATAACACGGATATAGAACAATTAACAACACCAATTGTTTGAAAACAAAAAAAGCATGTCAGCTATTTTAAAGTAACCGCCTTGTAACTCCTGCTCGCCTGGTATTAAAGGTTGATATTGACACGCCCTTTTTACGGCGAACAGTTCCTTTGATTCGTTCTCCCCTTATTTTAAAGTCAGCATGTTCCCTGCAGCTCCTTAGTAGCATTCTTTAATCTCCACCGTGTTACTTATTTCCTGGTACTTTAAGAAATTCGAAGAAATGTTTTGTTTATTAAATTTCCTTGCCAAAATGTCAATTAATCTTGAAAAAAATTATATTAAATAATAAATTAGTTTAATTTACATCATATAATTTTTTCCATATATATCGTGAAAATAAATAAAATTGTACACATATTTGAAACGAAGCATGTTTTTTTTAATTATGAATAAAAGGCACCACTGTTATATAATATATTCTATTTATTCGTACAACACGTTGAGAGCCTCTCCATCCTGTGTATGATATCCGTGATGAATGCAGCGCTCGTCGCTCAAGTGTCATGACTGTAGTAATTTTCATTTTGTCATGTCATAATCATAATGTCTCCTCGGTCATTATGAGCTTTATAGTCAATATATTTTTCGCTGCTTTTTTTTAACTTTTCACTTAAGTTGTATGTATGTAGGATAAAAAAAAGATGTAAGATAATTAAATCTATGCTTTAAAAATCTTAATAGAGTTTTTATCTATGATTATGGAATGAGAATTAATGTTCAGTATTTGATGGTTGGTACGTGTCTTCGACCTTCAACACTATTGTAGTCTGATAGTGTCTGATAGACTTCTTTCACAACGAAACCGGGTCAGTGAGGCTCGCACAAAAGACTGTTTCAATAATATATGTATATAAGTGAATAAAGTCTCGCCGATCACAGGGGATCATATTATACATAGCGTCGTTATTAACTAGCTGTACTAGATATTTACAAAGGCATTGTAATTAACCATACGGTTCAGAACTGCATTTACATAAAAGGTCGAATGTGCTCGAGTCGACAAAGGCACGGGAAAAGGTAACAGAATCAAAAGTGTTTTAATATTTCCCCCGTAAATACGACGACATAAATCTTTTGTACAAAGCGCCATACAGCGAGCTTGAAAAAAATATACTGAAGGAACCGTGAAAAATGATACATTGTACAGTACAAAGAAAATATATATATATGTATATATGGATATACATATGAAAATAAAAAAGACGAAGCTAAAGGAAATGCTGTTTCAGAAAACCTGACGGTTGATTCCGTATTAGATATTTATCACGAACTTTTCGATCATGAAACGAGAAGGTTCGAAGATTGTTAACCTAAGAAATACGTCGGCTGCTTAGAGAAAAACGTCCTAGCGGTCTCTTTGACTACACCTAGGGTCAAAAGGAACTGCATATGTTTTTATATTTAATAAAAAAATATATAATTTACTTTTTTCACTACTTGTATTTCAAAATAAAATTGAAAGTTAAAAAAAAAAGCGAGCTCTCTACCATCTGAGCTACGCCCCCGGTGCGAAATGAAATTCAATGCATGAATTGTAAGTTAAATGAACACTTTGTGATATTGTCTAAAGGTTTTGAATCTTTATATTAAAAAACCGATGTACGGATACTTACGATACTTTTCATCACATTTGACAAAAAAAAGAACAAAATTACGTAGTTAAATCCAAAATATGCACTTTTCTAAGGTCTGTCAGGTCTACTAGTTCTATAAATGTATAAACATTTCATTGTACCCAGCGAAGGTATTCTTAATGTGATGATTTAAATTTTTCAATCCGCACATTATCTATTATTTTTGGTCTACATGAACTTCATAATTTTTTTTGATCCGCAAACCTTTGTTCTTGACGTTGTTCGAATATTATTTTCTATGCAGTTTTCATTCTTACCAAAAGGAGAACTTTTGTTTATACAATAGAACCGTCGAAATTTTTTTGTAAAAATCAAGCGTATAAGTAATTTTTTAAATTTAATATTCGTATAATAAATAAATAATTTAATATTTGTATAATAATATAGAATGTATGTCACGTACTCACGTGTGTGTGGAGTAGATTACGAAGTCAACATCGATGAATTAATAACACGGAGTGGTGTTGTCAAAGGATAGGCTTATTAATAATTCATATGTAAATTAATTTATCAAGATCATATGTAAAACTCAAAACTATTTCGAAAATACTGAAGTAAAATTACATTAAACAATTATAATATTTTGCTTGTCACAAAATCTATCATATGGCAATCTATGCTTGGGTACATTAAATCAATATTTCGGGGTTATTTTAATAAAAATAGTTGGAGGCGCCGGGTATCGATCCCGGTACCTCTCGCATGCTAAGCGAGCGCTCTACCATCTGAGCTACGCCCCCGGTGTAAGTGTAGTACGTAATGCATGAAGTAAATTACAATAAATAAAATTATACTTTATACTCTAGAGTCTAGGTACAAATATAAAGATTATTTGTAAAAGAAATAACCAGTATCATATGTCATAATCGACTGATGAAGTAAAAATGGTTCAAAAGATAAAACACGTTCTTGTTTTAAACACTGATTAATTCGCTGATATCCACAGTTCGCTATATGAAACAAGATATATCTCTTTGTACCAAATTTTATCAATATATTACCTTTATCTTTCATTGATACAAATAAAAGGATTGTTTTATCTCAAGTACATTTTTTACATTTTTTTATAGAATTTTAATTTAAGATGTCGTTATAAATATATGTAGTATTGACCGTTTTGTTAGCAAGACATATAACAATATAAGAGAGAAAACCTCTTAGCATTCAAAGTGTTGGTGCCGGGTCCATCGAGTTGCAGGGAGAGGAGCTTCAACAGTGCCTGGGACTTGCGACCCAAGTATAGGTTTAAGGATAGGACCCCTATCTAACTCGTGTAAAACGCTTGCCTCCAAATGCCAAGCTCCTCTCTCTACCTAACCAAATTTGAAAGGAGAGAGATCAGATACTTTATATAATCATGTAATTTCCATAATAGATTTCAGTTGATATGATATAGGCTTTGTTTTAAGGTCGGTGTTCAATCCTTACTTTGAATAAGATTTCTTTTTCGTATGTAACAAGTTTTTTTATACTTATTGTCATCGGGGGCGTAGCTCAGATGGTAGAGCGCTCGCTTAGCATGCGAGAGGTACCGGGATCGATACCCGGCGCCTCCATAATATATATTTTTTGTGGCCATTTTTAGTGTCACTATTGTTATTATTATTTTAAATTTTGCTATTGAAATTATTGTTTATATATCAGTGAACAATTATCAAAAGCGGTTCTTCTAATCTGTCATATTAGGATCGTCTCGGTACATTCATGAGAAGTGACAAGAACAAATCGTCCTCACGTTAAATAAACCTTACCGTCTGATTGACGGGTTAAGTAACTAAGGTCTGCTTTACCTTTACGTCCATATTAAATATTCCTCTAACTATTATATAAAAGGAATCTATATAATTTAACATTTAGCGAAATTGTACATTTCGTATCGGAAAGTCTTTTGTCTCGGTTTTCCTCTGTGCCAAGTTGTTTTTTTAATACTGTTCAAATGCATGCAACAACATTGAACACGAAATATTAACTTCAAAGGCCTGCAGAATGTTTACAAATTATTGTTTGAAGTCGTGATCAAAGTGAAAGGCAGTATTGCGGAGGTAGCACACGTTGTCCCCGCCCGAGGCTACTTGTTTCTCTCGTTTTGCGCTGCCTCTTGAAATCACCATAAAAAATCTGATAATACGCCATCGGGGGCGTAGCTCAGATGGTAGAGCGCTCGCTTAGCATGCGAGAGGTACCGGGATCGATACCCGGCGCCTCCAAGATACTTTTTGTAGATTTTAAATATAAAGATTTTTTTTTGAGTAATCAATTCCAACAACTACTGTAGATATTCCGAGTATTTATATGATTTAATAGATTAAAATTTATGGTTAGTAATAAATTCGATATAATCTTTTTCTAAAATTGAATTCAAAATGATTTTCTTATAGTCAAACTATATAAAAATGAAGTTCTTGAACCCTTAAAGAAGCATCTATCGTATCTCTTTGTAAGGGAGCCACCCTCGTTGTTCATGAACTCCTAGTACACGTGGGATACAAACACAACCCTTCCAAATGTCACTTAACCGTTTTTATGTACTTAGTAAAATCCGAGCGACCTTTCATTTTATTTATAACAACAGATGCTAAGGATGTTTATGTATTTCTAAAGGGAGCTTTTTATGTAAAAGTTCCTATTGGCTTATGATATCCTGGTAGTTATGGGAATAATTATAATATTTTAAAAATTTTTTTTGCTTTAAACTAAGAATTTGTAAGATTTCTTTAGCTGATATAAAAATGTAAAAAGAAATGGTAATAGGACTTATTAAATTTATAATAATTAATAATTATAATTTGACAGCAATAAATATGAAAAATTAAATAGAGAAAAATAAAAGTTCACATAATTTCTTAATTCATTGTTCTGTTTTGCTTACTTAAACAGGAGAGGCTCACAGGGGAGGCTGCGTTGCTTGATAAATAAATTATTTGAAAAAATCTTGATAAATTGTTTATGTAATTTAGTTTTATAACAAAACTATTAATATTTTTTCATTCTTATTAAAGTATTTTTTCAAACTCAGTAACCAAAACACGACAAGTGTTCGAACAAATCTTAGTGCTACTGAAACAGTGTTAATGTCTCCTTTTTTGTTCACATTATTAATCTTAAAGATGATGCTAAAATTCTTGTCGATCACATCATCATGTGATTTCCTAAAATTAGTATTTTGTATATCAATTTGTATAAATTGAATGAATAGTATTTGTTTAATATTTTCAATAACAAAATTACTGCTTAATAAGCAGTATTGGAAAAATATATAAACTAATAATAATAGTTATTTCGCGTTTAGTTACTAGATATTTTCT